CAGATCGTACTTACCGGACAATGCGGCCAACTGAACGGAGGATAGGCCAGCCCAGTGTTGATTTATCTCTTGTGAAGAACCAGATTGAAATCGCACTGGCAATCACAAATTGTTGACAGGCTATGAGGAACTGGGAACCCCAAAACAGTCCGAACAAATGGTACCACCACATATACTATGGAAAAAATAAGAAGGCAATAATACATGCAATAGTAGGAGTTGAAACAGTTGGCGAAGAAGCTCCCTCGAATAAACTTATTCGAGGGAGGCGCTTATTCCAAATTAGGTTATAGACAGGGGGTGTTTATTCGCGGGGGCGACTATTCAAAGCGGGGCGTTTATTCAAAAAACAAATACGGTAATTATAATAATATCATTACCTCAGTAAGTTTTTCCTTTTGATATTCCACTCTTCCGTCGTCCATGGCAACTGGTTCTCCCGATGTTGTTAAATACAGGAATACAACTATCCAGTAAGCTGCAAGAACAGCTAACGCCAAGAATGTCTAAGAGCAATAGATATAAGAAACAACTTATTCATAGGCTTTACAATTAATAAGATTCATTTTTATGTCTGAATATTAGTATAATTGGCACTAAAAACAGAAGAGCCAATCTCATTCTTTTTTTTTATATACATTTATATTATTCACACCTATCATGGTAATATTATTAGGCTTATGCTTTGTATATATTTAAGTTTGTCTGAAATGAATATTATTCGGACTCATAATGTGTAGACCTATTAAATTTGTATCAGGAAAATTAATACTATAATGTATTCTTTGTAAGGATAGAACATGTAACAATGTTGTTAACTATAGTGATGAGAAATAAAGTAGTGTACTTCATAAAATATTTGTTGAAATACAGGAATCCAGAAACACACTGTGCCAAACGGACGTCGGCCGACGCGATTTCATATAAAACGTAACGCGATGAGGTGCCGCGCCCAACGGATCTTTTTTAATGACGATCCGCTCATATTGCCAATAAAATTGAGTATCGTGTCGTCAAGAATGGTTCGACAGATCGGTCGGCGGACGTGAGATACAGTGTTCTTACCCAAAATGGCTGAAGAAGAAGTAACGGTATGGCACCAATCGCCTTTCCTGATTCCTTAAACAGCGCAACCACAAGAGCAATGCGCTTGCGCATAACGAACAGGATTAACAGCAAAATAACCTGAAGGTATCCGAAAATGAATAATCATATTGTTAGTCGACCTAACTAATATACTATTCAAGTTTAAAATTGTTATAATTTCAAACAGAAACAATATAAATACCATATAGACCATCTTTTTTTCATATTTATAATATTTGTTACCTTTTGCTTTTCTTGTTATATTTTCAATGTTTGTATACTTTTGTATCTGCATGTATTTAAATGGTTACACCCCTAATTTCCGTATTTTGGACAATAAAATAATCTTGAATCTTGATTTTATCAAAGCCAAACAGGCCTACATCGCCTGCATCACCTATCAATGAAAGCTATGGATGTTTCAGACTAGTAAAATAAATGTGTGATGTTAAATCATTAATAAGCAAAAGAAAAAAAACTTATTTTGAACGGGATACAACGAATGCATGCACGCACCAAGCACACGTACCGTAACTCCTGAGACGACACTGGCGTAGATAAGCATTGTCTTCACATTCTTCTTATCTGAATCAAGTTGCTCTGATTAAGAAAATTATCAACAAAATCATGTTTTATCACTATTGTGAGTTATATAGTAACATGTTTAGTATACACTCGGCAATGGAAGTATTGAAGGTGGTGTGGAGTGTGAAGAAGGCGATGAGGAATACCTCAACGAAAAAAAAGGTGACCAGAAAATTAACTATAATAATGATCATGTTGATATTAATGCTATGATGATAATGATGAAGATAATGTTGATGATGAGGAGGATGACGACGACTATGATGATGATGGTCACGAAAATTATGTTGGTAATGATGAAGTAGAAAAAGAAGAAGATAATAAAGATGATGATGATGATGACGATGACGACGATGAAGATGATCAGAACAATGATGATGATAATGATGATTTTGATAGGATTATTGATAATAATACTGATTAGATAACGATGCTGTGAACCACAACCACCTACCTTCGACAGGAATCTCATCTAGATCTCTCTTGCGTAAATACCATTGGTACCAGAGATACCCGCTGCCGCCGATACTTCCCATGATAAAAAATACCACCATGAACCAGATCACAACGCCCGCAAAGAATCGCAGAATTACTATCATTACGATCGCAAGACCTTTAATAAAAATTGGCTTAAATAAAATTGAATATTTCTTACGTTATATATAACTATTCAGTATAGGACTATATACATGGTTCCTTCATCATACTGGGTGCTTCTGTTTTTATTTCCTTGCTTATAGCCAATAATACGATAAGAGAGCTCAAGATTTAACGTTTCCAGTGTTGATATGATCTTTCAAGATGTAACCAAAATATTATTACCTCCGCCAAAGAAGTTGGCAGGCGGTTATGTTTTCGCCTGGTTTTTTTTTTAAATTTATCTATATATTTGTCTGTCGGCATATTTGTTGTGGACATTCTACAACCCATATTTTTTATCAGGAATTCATCAAACTTGGCCACAATGTTCCTTAACCTAAGATCTAGTTTGCCGTATAGACGTGTGTGACGTGTGCTAATACGGGCTTGCCGGTAAAGTGTAAACAAACATATGACCAATAATTTTCAAAGTGTTGAGAAAACAGTTTGGTGTAGTAGTTAGAAGAGTGTTTTCCACACTACTAGCCCCAAATTCAAATCCCAAGGAGTCTACTTGTCTTTTTTTCTCATTATTTTTTTTATGGGGAAAATATGAGGGGGAAATTTACCGAGGAGAATTTTAATGTAGGCGAAGGTAAGAGTGCCCTCTAGTTAATAAACTGTAACAATCTTGCTTAGTGAAACAATTTTCATAAGAATGAGAGTGCAATTTATGCATGTTAAGTCTGAAGCTCGACGCACACTGCGTCGGCAAGAGACGCGATTGCACGACACTATCGTACGACAATTCGGATCGTTCTCCGACGATCCTACACTGCTACTGACGGTAAGCATACTAAGGACATGTGTCAGAAATCAACACGATCGCATGAGACTGTGTGCAACGTTTTTACCAACGTTTTTACCAACGATCCGCTCAGCTGCCACTACGGGCAGCTGATTGGAAGCACACTGCGTCCACGCGGTTGCATAACAACCATCGTCAAATGGGGTCGATCGTCTGCTCAGACAACCATTCGGCCAGCGGATTGGTGGCACCGTCATGCGACGGGCGGATGATTTTAAAATTTTCAAAAAGGAGTGTGCCAATATCAACATTACGGATGAATTCTTCAGCCAATACAGTGTATGTAAGTTGATGATGTAATGTCACTGACGCTGTAATGACGTAATTACTCACCGATCGAAATGGCACACAGATAACAAATCTCCTTCCAAGAGGTTTTAATATCTGATAAAGATTTCTGAAGGAACAAAAAAACCACAAATATTTTAGGAAATTTAGAAAATTATGGGACAGGGACTTTCTGCACAATAATTGTAAACAGCATATTTGTTTGTAAACAGCATTATTATCCTTATCTATTTTTAATCCTTATTATTATCATAATCAATTATTAATATCATTATCATTAGTATCATCATTATTATTATCGTTAATTTTATAGAGTATGTAAAAAGAATGACTATTGCTTTTTGGTTACCTTGAACCAATCCACATTCACAATTTTTGACGCAGTTCCAATTATGGCAGAAGGTAAACATCGATAGAGCACTTCATCACTACGGGGAAAATATAGGTATACAGTAAAAGAGATGATGCTACTGTAAAAGAGATGATGCTTTATTAAAATGGATATCAAAAATAAGCCGACAGATGGACCCATGGAAAGCTTGGAGTACGAGGATAAGTGTATTTTTAATGTGAATCACACACCAAGCTTGCTATGAGCAAAGCTGCTCTCACATTATTTGCATGGAGTATGTTCCAAATGCTGATGCAAGAAGAGCAGTAAAACAATTCGCAAGTTTTGGACTTGGAGATCTGAACCTAATGGTGTGACTTGTGGTTGTCAGCTGAAAAGTGGTAGTGGAAAGCTTGGAGTACGAGAATAAGTGTATTTTTAATGTGAATCACACCAAGCTTGCTATGAGCAAAGCTGCTCTCACATTACTTGCATGGAGTATGTTCCAAATGCGGATGCAAGAAGAGCAGTAAAACAATTCGCAAGTTTTGGACTTGGAGATCTGAACTTAATGGTGTGACTTGTGGTTGTCAGCTGAAAAGTACATCGGCTATAGCAATTTCTATGTGACCGGTAACTTTCATTTGCCTATATCTGAGTTTAATATGACATTATTATGCTCATAATATGGGAAAATCACACGGACTTGTCATACACAATTTGATGTAAACTTAATAAGATTAAGAAATCGAACAAAATAATTCAATAGCCGATACTCTTGACATATCCGTGGCGGATCTAGGAATTCAAAATAGAGGAGGCCTGGGGAGGTACTTTCACAGATGGAGGATCTACACCATCTCAGGCCCACCATGGGTGGGGCTGAGGGAAGAAATTTGTGATATGGAACCTCTAGATGGCCGGAAATTGCACTCTGAGACTTCGATTAAATTGAATATAATTTTTTTTATATCTCCATTTTTAAATACGTTTGAACAATTTTGGAGGTGGGGGCGTGCCGACTGCCCCAGCCCCCCCCCCTACTGCATATTCACAACCGTCCATGTTTGCCTTATGCTTTGTCCACACTATCAATTCTTTTGTAAAAAAATATATATATAATGTGCCCATATATGGGCATTATGATGACGTATTATACACCCAAATATGGACATATCACACATAAAATGTTGTATTGAAAGCAAGGAATAAATTAACCAAATCATATGACGAACCTGGGAGAGATTGGTAGGTTGGGACAATCTTCAATGTCACCAAATGTGATATCGGTGAAGTTCTCCACCTCGTAAGAACAATAGGATTGGCCGGCGTCGGCATAAGCCTGCAACTCCGACACAGTTCCAATGGTATCGTTTGGACAGGCTGTTACACACAATTTCTTGCTGTCAGTGGAGCCTGTTAACGCCGTGTCGTCGAAATAAAAAAGATAGCTAAATAGAAAAAAATATTCACACTGGTTTAAAGTCTGCAACCTGAAATATTATCACTGTATAATATGCAATTTAAAAATGAGATTATTAAAAGTGTCACAGTAATAGTAAAAATAACAATAACAATTATAATAATATTTAAAAAAACGATAACAAAGGACATTATCATAAACAACAACAGCATTACGATAATGATAATGATAATAACGATAAACAAGAAACTTAATTAACAATAATAGCAATAACAATTGTAATGGTAATATTGATAATATTTATAAAAATTGGCTTAATAATACTATTAAAATTAATAAAAGATATACAAATGAAATATAATAATAGTAATAACAATAATAATCATAATATAATTATAACAATAATAGTAATAATAATATTAAAATAATAAATTATTATTGATATCAAGCCTGCCTATGTGCAGTAAGGTAAAATTAATAGAAAACAAGTATGCAACAATATTCGGCAACTTTACATATGAATAGAAAAAAAACCAGTATGAATAGCCTAGTATTACATTAATCGATTTACCTTTTGTCCTTCATGTCAATGCCGGAAAGAGGTACACCTGAAATCTTCTCATTATCATTTTGGCCGCATACGTTGCCATAGCTATCGACGCCGAATATAAGACGCTCTGGTTGTCCGTGGATGAATGCAATGAAAGCCACATAACCCTAGGGAAAATTTGAATAAACAATATTTATGTAACCAGTATGTAATCTATATTTTCCTATTTAATCTAATAATTCATAAAGTTGCAATTTATAATAATTTTCATATTCATATTTTTTAATTCGCTTAATCTATATAATAATACTGTCCCACGCAATAATTATATTTACGTCTCTACTCCTTTGTTTTAAACATCTTTCATTTTCTTCTTCACCCTTTCATTTTTAATCTGTTTGTCCCCTCGATTCCTTGTCATTTATGGTGAGTTTTCCACAAAAAAAATATTTTCCTTTTATCAATTGGAATGTTTGTATGTTTAGTGAATAAAAGTGATTTTAAATAATATATTAACATAAACCCAATGTCACATTAAAGGGACGCGCGACTCTTATGCTTAGGTTTAGTAGGCCTATAGTAGACCTAAAAATAATAACAATGAAAATAAAAAGAAATATTTATACTCGTATTCAACAACTTTATGAACGTAAGCCAAATATAGTGAGCAGCTAGCAAAATTAATATGGATCAGCGATTTTAGTAGGAGGTCTTTGAAAGGTCAAATACAATTATTTATGTTTTTATGCTTGGGGTTGTTTAGTGCTTCTTAATGTTGCTGCAAAGTAATTACTAATGTTAGACCTACTGAGCAATTTATTCAAATTATAGATTTGATTTTTTTAGAGTGTGAAAAACGTTGATAACCAACTGTACGCAAGTCCGGGTTGTGTGAAATGGGGAAATGCAATAAGAGACAATATATTGCTGTTTGTTTTTTTAAGAGTGCACTGCGTTCTAAAGTACAACATCGACCATACATGGCTTCTCATACAAATGTTGAACGGTTTATCAAGCGCGCATGTCAAATATTGGCAGCGCACTTTTACCATTCATTTTTCGGCTTTTGAGTTTCATATTTATTGAAGTGTGGTGTATAATTTTGTTATAATAACCCTACTATAAGTTTGAACAGGACCATATAAAGCAGAGGATTAACAACCACCTTAAATGTTTTAATCCTGTATAAATATGTTCGAAATAAAGAAAGAAAGAAAGAAATAGCGTTTGGTAATTGCAAACTTTGCATGGACGAAAAAGCAGCTATCCTTAATGCTAATAAGACAATCCTACTTAATAAAAGGTCAGAACTGGTATCTAAAAATGTAGGCGTACAAAATTTCCACCTGATCGTGGCTAATATGCATAACACCTTTGTATGTAAGAGAGTAGTAGGACTATGTGCTAACAATCAGTCTATCTGAGGATCGTGATAGCGTGAAACGTGCGTTTTGTGTTTTGGGTGGTTTTACTTTTACGAGAAGAATTTAATTTACATTTAAGTAAACAACTGTTTCTTTAAGCTTGTACTTATTAAACCGGCCGCTGCACACATCTTATTATTATGTTTGTTTAACAAACATAATAATAAAATATTGAGTATGAATAATAATAAAAAAAAGATGTATGTGATGATAAACCCACTTGTAATTGCCGTAATAAAGGCGAATGCTCGCTGAAAGGTTCATGTTTGGTGAAGTCGATCGTATATTCGGCCGATGTCCTGGCTAATAATAATGTAGTAAAACGTTATATTGGTATGACTGGGGTTGGGGGGAATTTAGGACAAGGTTTAATAACCACAAGAAATCATTCAATAATAAATCATATGAAAAGGAATCTGAATTGTCTAAATATGTGTGGAAACTTAAAAAATGAGAATACCAAATTTGAAATAGAGTGGAACAAAGTAAAGCGCTCATCCGTAAGACAATCCTACTTAGTAAAAGTCAGAACTGGTATCTAAAAATGTAGGCATACAAAATTTCCACCTGATCGTGCGTTATAGTCTCACATCCATCTATGTCCAGTTAACATATTGTGTTCTTACGGTTTTCAATTTGTAATACAGCACTCTCCCGCATGGGACGTACTTACCTAGTTGAAGTTGTGTATGTTTGGAAGAAAGAACTTTTACGCTTGTATAGAAAATCGTTGAATAATAGAATACTTTTATTCGTTTGTTTTCTAGTAGTATTTAAGAATACTATACTAATTTGATACATTTCTCTGCATGTGATAATACCTATATATAATAACACCATTTCAGGAATATCTAGATAATAATACCATATTATTCGAATAAACGCCCCTCGAATAAAATTCCCCTTTAGAACCTTATTTGGATTAAACAACGCCTCCATCAAATAAATGCCCCCCCACCCCCGCTTCCACAAATGAGAGTAAACAAATAATTTGGAAGCAGCATCATTCTCACCACATTCTAGTATGTTCTACTCTAGTATAATTTCATTTTCTCTTGGAATCAATAAGTCGTTATCAATAACAAAATTTCCGCGGTAGTTATGTGTTTTTAAGGGGCGTTTATATGAGTATGTAGGCCTATAAGTATCCATTGTACACAAAAACAAAATAATTAACGCCTCCCCCGAATAAACTCCCCCTCCTTAAAACCCTTCTTAATAATAAAAGCCCCTGGGCGTTTATACGAATAAATACGGTATTTGTCCAGCTAAACTTAAGGAGACAAAAATTAAATACAGAAAGAAAGTTAACATTCTGAATTTGTGGAGATTAGTTCAGAGAGATTTTTGGTTGTTTGTGGAAGCATCATACCAGTACTACTCTGGCAACTCACCAGGCAAATTGATTGATATATTCAGTCGCTATGATTTCTTTGCTTTTTCAATTGTTTGGCCTAAATCAATCATATTATTATTGTTATATCTCATTATTATTGATACTAATATTATTACTTATAGTTTTATTAACAATAAAACATAGCAGGTTTTAAATGCTGGATATAATAAGCATATAGAAATCAAATTGTTTTTCGGAATTTTTTTTTTTTTTTTTTTGGATGGTTTTACTTTTACGAGACGAATTTACATTAATTTACATTTAAGTAAACAAGTGTTTTCTTTAAGCTTGTATTTATTAAACCGGCCGCTGGAAAAGGTGTAGGCCCTAGTTTTGACATGCTACTGTTACACGGGTAGGACTAAATGTCTAAATCAAACTTTTTTGTATAATAAAAATACAAATCTAATCTTAATTCCAAAACATTTGTTCAGTGTCACTCTCAATAGGCATACCTCGTTTAGAGACTCAGTCATAACTCATGTTTACGACCACCGCTGCAAAGTGGTCTCGGGAAAACAAATTATTATAAGCATTGTGGTTGTTGACGCGTCATCGCGGTTTGTTCATTCCAAGCATTGTGGTTGTTGACGCGTCATCGTGGTTTGTTCTTTCCGCGCATTGCTTACAACACGCGATCGCGATTTTGTATGGCGCATTTGCCTTTGATATAGTCACAGCTCTGATGATACAGTATCAATGACCCGAGTTCCGCCAATTGTCATAAAAAGCCAGACGTTGTTGATTATTATTATTATTATTATTATTATTATTATTATTATTATTATTATTATTATTATTATTATTATTGTTAGCCTATTATTATTATTATTATTAGCATATTATTATTATCATTATTGTTATTATTATTATTAGCATATTATTATTATTAGCATATTATTACTATAATTATTATTATTATTATTATTGCTATTATTATTATTATTATTATTATTATTATTATTATTATTATTATTATTATTATTATTATTATTATTATTATTATTATTATTATTACCAGGGTTAAAACGGAATTGTATGTGTTGGGAATTTTTCAAATAAGTAAATACAAAAGTTTGGATTTCTATTTTTATATTCTTTTGACACATAACATTCAAAATAAAAAAATGTAATACAGTACGCATTAAAGTACACAGACTACTTACCCTGAACGGCCGAACTTTGTTATTCCCTGGGATTAAACTCATCCCACACGTGTAGGGCCTAAATCAAGCCTTGCATCTAAAATAAAATGAATGAGGTTGACTCTTTTATCAACGATAACAATTTTATTTTTATATAAATTCGTATCGTATATATCGTATAAAGTCGTATCAGCAAAACATATATTGGCATGGCTTTCTTTGTGCTCCATCACCTTCTTTCATTTTTATATTATTATTTTATACGTAGGCCTATGTACAACTCACACCCACCAATGTAGCGAAAACCCAATGGCTCAGACAAATAGCAGAGGCCCCAACCCTACCGTTCGGGGCTATTTTCACACACATAATAGATTACTCTTCTTTACCGTTTGCAATTTATATAACGTTACCATAAAGAGAGAGCTTATATCACCAAAACATTAGGTATTACATAAAAAAAATGTCTTTGGAGATATCTGTCATTCAAAATACATAAAAGAAGAGTTTGTTCACATTAATCACCAAGTGCGTGCGTAGGGGGAAGGGGGTGCGGATAGCCCAGGACGGCAAATTAGTTCCGTGGATAAGTGGGTTGGTATCCATGTATATCTGTGGTTTCTTTATCTCAATTTAGTTCCGCATTTTCGCACCCCAGGGTAGCATCTGTAACTTTAGTCTTACCTAGAAACGTCAATATCAAATTCGTATTATGTTAGCATTTGAGGCCTCCTAATCAATTTATATAATTGATTTTTACAAGATAATAACTAATACTAACTTTATTTGAAAACTAAACGTTTGAATCATTGACACACGCCATGCGGTGCGTTCACAATAAAACTATCAAACTACAGACTAAAAAAATGACACAAGTATACAGAAATAAGACAAAGCTTAAAAGATAATTCAATAAAATAAACAGCGCTATTCAAAATCAATTAATCTTAACCTAAGCATTTAAAACCATTCAAATATTATTTGAAATACAAATTAAACGGGAACGGGTAAAATGTGCAAAAGGATTAAAAGTTTGATTAAAAGTCGACTTTTACAATTTCCAGAAACGGTACAATAAAATTGGTAAAATGGTTTGAAAGTGCTTAGAATAAGATTAAAATCATGCACTACCTGTATATTCCTACTCAGATTCTACTTAAAATAAGGTTATGTGATGACCATGCCCTTAAGATAATGCTTTGCAGTAGTTATTCAGAATTTGATTTATCAATTTCCACTTCTGGTTATCAATATACAAATCATTGTTACCCAATGCCATTGAAAGTTTGATTTCAAGATTTCTGAGATAAACAAGTGCCATAGGTATGTTTCTTCAAGATTATTATTCTACAATTCGTGTTCTAACAGGGAAATCCACTACCCTACATCTTATTTCATTCAAAGCCCTGCATATAAACAAGAAATGGCCGATATCCTCCTCTTGCATTTTACAATGTGCATGTGGTGTCATGATCAGGAGACCAATGGTGGGCTCTAGAGCTTAATGAAAGGGTATTGATCTGGTTTTGAATTACGTGCAAACTTCTTAGAAATCAAGTTTGTCCACTAGTCCTGATTAGGTCTAAAAAAACATCGTTTGTCAATTTACGAGTATTTTGTTTCTGTCTAACCTGTTGACTTTTTTAACGTTTTACTGAAAATTTAGACGCAAAAATAACAAATTACATATATTTGAGGTCAACGTATAGCTTTCACACCATATTTATAAAGCTTATAAACGTGAAAAATGGAAATTTATTACAGTTCATTTAATTATAGTAGGGCTAAAACTTACGTCCTTATTCGTGGCTGGTTGGTATCGCCATCGCCAAACCAATTTCAAATTTATTTTCACCAAACTTCCTAGCGCGCGTATTTATTCTATTACGCAAATCCATACGCATACACGTATATGACGGGATTTTACGAATTATACCGTACGATGTATAAGCGACTTTTCAATATTCGATTTTGTTCTTTAATCTCTCATGGGCTATTTTAAAGAGAGTGAAATCATTTATAATTATGATCTGTTTTTAGTTCGGACGTTGATGACACTAGCGCAAGCCACGCTACGCCGCCGCCTAGCGTGAGGTGCTTGTGTTGTACACGTCGACGACGCGCTACTACGTTACCGCTACGCAACCTAGTAGGCGCATGAGTGTGTTTAATTGCGTCAACACCTCTATCAATATGCTAAAATAACCAGGCCAAAATAGCAACTTAAAAAAATGGAAAATAAAGTGTACAATCGGTAAGTTTTTAACGCATTAATCCTAAAGCTGGCCCGGACAAGGGCATCGATATTCTGCAAGGCCTAGTAGCAAATTTCTTTAGAAATAGTCTTGAAGATCACATCAATAATAAATCGATATCTCTTGAAATCAGCAAAACAATTTCTAAACCACTGCGTTGGCAATGGTGGCTTATTTATAATCTCACGTCCAATGCAAAAATATAATCAGATATACAGTATTATTGTTATCGTTAAATTTGGGTAACGAATTGAGACGCCAATTGTTGGATAAGAACTTAAAATACTATTCTTAGTCAAATTAAGGCCGTGCATAATATGGAACGGCCATATTCGTATATTTTATTCATTTATTTATTCTATTTTTAATCTTACCCAACAGAGGGTAACCTGCCTCTTACAGAATTGATTATAATATACGGCTCCTATCAGGTTCTCATAATAATGCGTCATGTAGGCCTAGCCATTACCAAGCTAAGATTGCGAGATTCAGGTCTGTCCCAGCTCAAATTCTATCTTTTCTCATTATTTTAAAAACATTTATTTAACATTTATCATTATTATTATTATTTTAATTATTCTTCTTTCATTTGGGTTTTGTTCAGCGCAAAGACGATAGGCCTACCGTAGTGTGCTTTATAAATGCCGATTTTACCCCATGTCGACCTTTTCTATACATTCAGTCACAGACCATCAGTCCATTGGTTAAATGTTAAATTGTCTTGCTTTATGTACTTTTTTAAATTTGTTTTATTATATATCAAGTGAAGAAATAAATAAAATGAAAATATGTACCTATTATACAAGTATGCTCAATAAACAAGGAAACAATAAACCATGGATTGGTACACGTACTTACCGGAACTAGAAACACTTTCCGTTCAAGTCAGCAATAGTATCCAAATACGCGAATACTTATACATTTTACAAGAGAAGCATTTCAGGAAGAAATCGAAATCATTTATTCCAAATGGTAACTATTTTCTTCGTTTCCAGAGAAACGTACGCTAATGTTGAATTTAATCCGTTTTCAAAACAACATTATACACCAAATTAGTTTGCTATGTTGTCAAAAGCATTGTACAGTATTTCTGAAGTGAAGGTGTCTTTAATCAGCCGTCTATAAAAATAATCGACATTTCATTTCAGTGCGTTGCTATGCACACTAGGTTATTCCATAACGTTGTCAGGTAAAAAATAGATGTGTCAATAATAACCAATATTTAAATTTTATTATTACTATTATATTGTCAATTAACAACTGTACGTTTGCATAAATATTAATAGCACACCACCGACATATCCAATGAGAAAAAAAACCAACAAATCTTATTTGTACACAATTGCAGTAAGTGTGACTATACTGTATAATACATACAGTATAGTAAGATATGCCTACTGCTGTACAATAATGATGTTTTATGTTTGAAAAGTGTGTAAAGTATAACGTGAGCTTGAAAAAATAAGAACGAACACTGAGCCTGGGCAATAAGAACCTCAATTCACAATTTATTGTCAACTAAAAACTAGGTCTTATGTAACTAAATTAATACTTCGGTGTCTCCTCTTCACCCCACCCCACTAAAAACGTTTATTCAAAAATTCACATACCCACTACAGTATTTGGAATTGTGAAATGAGTTGCTTTCGCCTTTTTTGAACTTTGAGCAACCCGACGACTTCAAATCCATATCGAGGCTTCTTATACAGGAAATGAGTTGGTGCCCGTTTCCATCGTATGTCCTACTTTGTTTTGATTCATTCAAATATCTACTCTGGCAGGAAATTGAATCACGTGTAAAAACTTAGGAAGGCCGTCTTTGATTCGGAATGACGAATACCCGAGGAAGTGCAGACATATTCGAATAAGTCAACACCTCCTGAATTATCTATTTGTTTGTGTGGTTTTGTGTAGAATAATATTATTATTATTAGGGCCTTTATAATTATATATACAGTATATATAAGATGTGTATAAGAGACAGAGCGTGTATAAGAGACAGTATATATGCAATGGAAATGGAAATGAAAATAAAAATAATAATATAATAATAATAATATAATAATAATATTATAATAATATTATATATATGCAATAAAAATAAAAATAATAATATAATAATAATGTAATAATATAATATAATATAATTATGAAGACTATTAAAACTAACAGGCCTAACAATAATACAGATCAATAAAATAATGATAAGCCTAATAATGCATAAAATCCGAGTAGCAAATAGAAATACAGTATAGAAATATTATTATTATTAGTAATTTATATTATTATTTTCGGTGCCGTTGGATAGTTAAATAAAAGAACATAATAATGTGCATTATAATTTCGTAATGGACAAATAAATTTGATTTGTCGTGCCTGGAACAATTAGTTAGCGAGCGTTACCTTCGTAGACATGAATCGTCTGCTTTTGATGACAAAACATCCTCTATTTCCTGATTAAAATATCCTTTCTCCAATATTAATATAGCACAGTTACCGTACTTAATCATGTCTGAATAAAGAACGATGACCGAGGTTGTTACACAGCGATATAGAAAACGGTAGTTTGTTTATTTGATTGTAGGATTTCCAAGCAAAAACATAATTAGGAAATTACTAATATTAGCCATTTAGACGGATTGACGTTAATTGTGTTTGCAATGTAACTAGATTTTTATACTTACTCTTTACGGAAGCAACACCAGGCCTGATACGACCGTGAACTATGTGACATGAGTTCGTTGCTATGAAAACGGATGTTTATGTATAGACCCATGCAATGAGTAATATTAATGGCCGTACGTGAATCCAATTGTTGAAACTGGTTTCATCTCAAAGCTATAGATAACTCTACAATATTCATATGTTCCCTAGGAACACACATGTTATGAATAACATAAAAACTAGGTGTGATCCTTCTATGCCTATAGGCCTAGAGAAAACCTACACGGTAGTAAATACCGAAACAAACTAGAATACTACTTCTGCCTCTCAAATCTCAAAGGACTAAAACATAATGTGACAGCCTGAACATGGGGGTATAAGTCACACCGTGTGCGGTAGCCAATATCCGCCTTAATCTTTCATGCTAAAAATTGATTCTATGCAACCGCCTATTATTTGTTTTGACTATGTTTGCAGCATTTTAAACGGGATATTTCGTGCACCCATCATTCCGATGCATCAAAACGACAAGTAACGCCTTTCTTTATAATATAAAGAAAGTATTGTATATATTATATACAATACTCAGACTGAGCAAAAGTATATAAATATGTTAATGCAGGGGGAAAAAACATTTAAAGCATATAAACAGAGAAAAGAAAACTTCGGAGATATAATTAGACGATATATATTATTTAACAATTTACCGCGAAGTTTCCCGGCCCCTTTACAGAACTCATAAATACTCAGTAAATAATTCTGAACAGATTATATAAGTGTCGTTGTATGCACTGACACACGGCTACGTGGGGGCATTTACAATGGCATACAAGATAAAATTAACAACTTACCTCAAAAAGAAATTTTAGAGTTCTTAGGAGGTCGGCTACCCACCAGAACCAAAGAAAGCACTAAAATACGATGTGTCAATCTGCTTAAAAGCCTAGGTAAGTGAGTAAACACAAGGCAGCCGTGGCTGAAGTTGACTCCGAATGTGTTTAAGACACGTTTTTTTCTGTCTCAGTAACGCATTCACTCCAGGGGGTCAGAACATTCCTTGAAGCCGGATGACTACATGGTCACTAATTGGAACAAGATAGAAAACTTGAGACTATTTTTGATGGTTGATCAACTCTCATTCTAAGGAAATGATTGTCTCACTGTACAATGAGCTTCTGTTTTCATTCGTTATGCTGCGCAGTAGACAGTGCGCATTCGCCTCGATTATAGTCAATTTCCCTAAAGTGGTTTATAAATTTAGTCTGTAGGCCACATAATACATATCATTTCACTCAATTACGCCCGTTCATGCATAGCCTAGAGTACATCAGGACACTTATTCACTATCTGTCGCAGGCTACGACGACAAAAATATTAGGTCTTCGATGTTTTGCCTAAAATTGAATCATCTTCAATGTGGCGTACGTGTCAAAAATGATTGTTGCATTACTATAAATATATAGTATATTATTATCAATATCAATATTATACTTTTCGATTATTTATACATAACATTGGCAAACAACAAAATTGTACCAGTCTCGTGCTACTGTGCTTAATTGTGTTAAATTCTTTGTGATTTTTGTTATTTCTTGTTTTGTCAATGGTATGTAGTTATTCCAGTTTTGGAGTCGTGTCTGCGTGCGTCGGCGCAAATCTCCAATTTCGGAGATTTTGCATTAAAAAAAAAAGCAAAACTTTTAATCAACCCTCCAATTTTTGGATTCTTGTGTACTATAGGTGAAAACTGAAAAATCGGAGTTTTTTTAGCCCAGCGCAAACACTCCCATTTCGGAGGGTTTGCGTCCTAAACTAATTAATTTATAACAACCTCTTTATAGAGAGAAGAGAGAGAGAGATAGTGGGGGGGGGGGTGTAACTCAAAAGCTCCAATAATGATGATGAGATAATGGGGATAATCAAGTTAATCAAGAAATATTTTTACAAAAATAAATTCGCCACAACATATTTAAACTAGGGCCTATATATTTGTGTTTTTTTATAAAGTTATACACACTTTCTTTACAGCACAAATATAGCTAATATGTATTAAAGTGATATTAAGATTAAATCAGACCTCTACCTCTATGTAGCAGCCATTAGTAAAATATGAAAGGAAATGAATATCGAGATAGAGGGGTCCATAGCGATGTAGGGAGGGTTGGAACGGAATTATTGATATACTAGCATCTTGGCGGATTAATTGTTACCAGTCAAGTAGTTAAAGTCAGGCTTCAGAGGGCAAAAAAACAATAATATGTTGCACAACTGAATTTTTAAGACACAAAAAGCATTTGACGAAAATATCAAGAACGATTAATAAGGTACAAATTTTTGAATATTTAAAAACAGGTGAAAAATGGGTGGTCCCCTTTTCCCCAGTTTTTAAAAATTCAAAAATCTGTATCTATTAACCGTTCCCGAGTTTTTCGTCAAATAGGCTATTTTGTGTCTAAAAAAAATCAGTTTTACAATATATCACAATTTTTGTTTCCTCCGGAGCAGTTATTTCAGTCGTTGCCAGTCGTCAATAAATTCGGTCTGATCAGTGTTGAGACTCATTTGTAAGGGATAACTGCTTGTGTACCATGAACTGGTAGTAAGAGATGTCTTCATGAAATAGTGCACATAATAACTATCAGTGGCAGGTTGAATGTTTGGTGGGGGCAGCCGGCACGGGTTTCCTTCACCCATACAGTTTTCAATATTATTTTTTTAATGGAAAAAAAAGGAAAATTGTATTCAAACTGAAGTCTGAGAATGCCATTTCCGGCCTCCTGAGGTGCCATATATGTTCTTACCTCAGCACCACCATGGCTACCCCGGTCTGTGAAGATCCTTCTCTGGGCCACCTATATTTCGAATTCCCGGATTCACAACCACTAAATATTCTTTTTTATTTGCCTTTCAGCGAAAATTTTCAGTTCCGCTCGAGACATCATGCTGCTAGAAGCATCTTTGGAAATGCGCAGTGTCCATCAGGCTTTTTTGTGAGTAAATAAATATCGTCATCGTCAGACGACAATTAGATTCTCCCCATTGTTATTTTTACATCACATTTATTTTATGCTTGTAATACATATATGCGTATTGATGGTGACAAAATGACATGATGATGATTATGATGATAATTTTCTTCTGACAGATTTATGTGTCGATGAAAACATCTAGTATTTCGAGAGACACGCTTCAAGTTCTCGTAGTGTTGTACTTGATTGCATAGGCCGCCATTTTTGATATCATTTTAATTATCCTAACATCATCATCATGTGCAGATCCCTCCACACTTACAGTACGTAGTACTCCGCTTCATTTGTTCATGTATATAATATTCTACAGTATAACCCTTATCAAGGGGACAACTTTGAGTCTAAACAATGTTCCTCCATATAGTGGTGTCTCACTGTATATAGCATTATGTAGTCGATAATTCCTTGTCACACTAATCACCTTCATTAATTTCTCTCTTATGCACTGGACCTCTCATACTTCCTTCACTTCTACCCCCTCATCAAACAAACATTTATTTACACATGCTCATGATGTGGGTGTGACTAAATAAATATAATTAAGCATACTATCTGCTTTACTAATAAATTTTATTTGCATCAACATTACCACAATTTAATATATAGCCAAGACAATAACATTTACATTTACCACAAGAAATTATTTTATCACTTGTCATTGCGGTTGTTATACTTCTAAAATTATAATTATTTGTGTCTTTTTTATGTTGTAACTTTGAATGCTTTGTAGTATTTGCATAGGCGTAGATCCCGGGCGGGGGGATGGGGGATATATCCCCCGAATATTTGACAAGGGGGGGGGGGATGGTCCATTGTATCATCCCCCCCCAATATTTTGACTATGTATGGGATAAAATGGAGCTTTACACAAAAGACTGTCACAGAAATAATTTGCACTGTCTTATGCCCATACAAAGATGAAGATTAGCATAATGTATTAATGTTGATAACAAAATTATAAAATGTGCAATTTATAGAGGAAATTGGCCTACCGTAACAAGAAATGCGCGCAAAGAATTTGAGAATTTTAGGCACTTTCAGAGAGGATGCATTTGTCAAGGGGTGGGGAAAGATTTTCCAAATATGGATATTTTCCCCTTGTCCCCCGGTGTTTTCAATTCTAATTTCGTTGGAATTGATCAAAACTCCCCAAAATGTACAATTTTTAGAGGAAATTGGGCCATGTTAACAAGAAATGCGCGCGAAATTTGAGGTTTTAGGCACTTTCAAGGGATGAAAGGGCATTTTTAAAGGGGTGGGGAAAATTTTTCAAAGATAGATATTTTCCCCTTGTCCCCCAGTGGTTACGCCATCGAGCAGCATAGATCAAAGGAGTTATGACAGTTTTTGAAGTGGAGAAGGGGTTGCAGGGTGTTGTGAGTCTGGTCATTATGATATCTTCCTTTTTATTCTTGTCTTTATTTTTCTCTTCCGTTTTCTTTCCTTTTCTTTTCCTCTTCTTTCTCTTTCCCTCTTTAATTAGTATTTATTGAAAAGTGTTACTCGTCAATAACGATATAGGCAGCTAGCAGAAGGGAACCAGAGTTGTATAAATGGTGGCGCTATATATTTATTGACAAAATATTAAATGAAAATTTGGCCTTTTGGGATAGGCCTAGAGGATAGGCCTTTAGTTGTTATTGTATTTTTAATAATGGCAGAAGAGGAAAATTTTTACATTCAGCTGTCACCAAAACCAACACGGTTTGAACCTGTCACCAAAGTCTCCAACGTGTTTTTCGATGAAGCTAAGCGCCAGGTGGGTAAATTTTGCTAGGCTATCAGCCTAGCTAGGCCGCCTAGGCCCTAGTAGAGGCCTAGCCTTTCCTGACGTTACGTTTACGATGGCAGGCTCGTTCTCTCTGACACTGAGAGTAGTTATTCCTCCTAGCTCCAGGGAGCAGGCCTAGGCCACATAATGCCAATGCACCACTTTTTTTTCAGACAGGTAAAAATCTTGTGATGATTTCATAACTAGGCCTAGCCTACGCTAGGCTACATCCTAGGCCTAACACTAGTAAAAGAAGGCCTCTGCGGCCTCCTGTCTGGCCGTAGGCCTACATCGTTCCTTGAGTCTTCAAAATAGGTAGAATATTCCTATTAATCATTCAGTTTGTTTAGTTTATTAGGGTTCATTGATTCAAGGAATTCCTTAATTGTTCATACTTAATATTGAATTTGAAGTAAATTTCTTCAGGTTCTAATTAACCTGTTTTAAGAAAGTAGTTTTCAATTACAATTAAATTTTCATTGCGGTGCGTGATATCTTCGCGGTGACAAAAAATTAGGGGTTTTTTTTGCACACGAATCTAAAAAAATCAAGCCAAGCTTCCACTATTGAAAAATTATTGGACTGTGGGAGATAGGCAAATAACATTGGGAGTTGCAGTGATGATGTCACAAGTGACTTATAATATGTAATATTATGATTATGTAATATTATGATTATGTGGGTGGCATATATCTATCATTATCTCATCCCAAGTTTTAGTCCAAGAAGCCTAGGTTGCTTACCTTAGTGCCGATGCTTACCTTAGTGATATAAGGAGGATTTTGAGTTATTACTCGTGGAGTCTGCCTCCTCTCAATGTTTACATGTGACGGTCATAGGAAACTTTGAAATGATTTAGTGTTTTGCAAGTGTGTATGTGTGCAGGTAGGTTGTTCCAAGGTCTTATCACTCGGGAATCAAAAAAGGAGTCCCGAAAAACAGTATTCTTTCTAGAGGTGAGAATATATTCGAAATTACCACGCTTTATAATCCGACCAACATAGACTTTGAATGCATGCATAACTGATAACTCCTTGATTTACCCCACTTTGGGTAGACTTGGTCGCTGTTAATTCCACCAATCGCAAACACCGTTCCTTCGACCAGAATTCTGATCAAGAGAATGAGTTCGTGATTATTAGTGTCAAATTTGTCAAATATACTTTGCAGGCCCATTTAAACAGTGAAGTGCTAATTTACAGTACGGTATATTCGGTTTTTTAGTGCATGTGTTGTCATGAAAATATATAGACAAAAGACTGAGTAGTATATCAACTCTCTTATAAGCAAAGGCATAAGCAAGTTGGCCTGGGCCTACGTAATGAGGATTCATGCCTTCCTTGATATAAATATAAAAGATAAATGACATGATTCTTATTACTGAGTGGAACCCTTACGCTGCGCCTATTTATCGATGACAGTATACTACACTCTTGCCTAGCTAATCATGTGATAAGCCAAGTACTTTCGCAAGTCACACCGCTCACCTCACACCATCACACACTGTGGGCGATTCTGGCTCTTCATTCTGTGATGGTGATGTAATGCCATTAGAAAAAAATACGGTACCGTATCTCTAGCCACGGCGTATTATAAAATGTAATTTATGCCTGTTTTTAATGCTGCTATGTCAGCAGACATACCTTCATACTCCTCCATGAAATCAGGTAAAAGCAGCAATTACCAAAATGGCAATAAACCAAAACGGCACTTTTCTAACAAAAAGTAACACACTGATGTGTTTTCTTATAAAAGAATGACAATTAGAATTATAACTAAAATGCAATAGTTTAAAAAATAATAGTAATAGAAATTGAGCTTTTTTCTTCCAAATGGTAATTGTCAGGTTGCACCTATTCAAAAACAACTATCAGGCTTAATTTAATATAATTAAAATAAACGTTACATTGATCTGAATTGAATAAACTTGTCAAGTTATGTTTATAACCATCATATACAGGTAGATTAACCTGGACTATTATATACTGTACCTTTTAAAATAAAATACCAGTATGAAATTGTAATATTGAAATACAAAAAGGATTCATTTTTTGGTTTTGGTTTTCATTCTTGTAGGTATTTGCTGTACGTTCTGGAGGAGCAACAGGTGTAGTGGTCAAGGGTCCAGATGAAAAAACCAGCACAAGTTTTAGGTATAATATTATGTAATCTTCCAACATGAAGAATCTTTTATATTTATCTTTTGGTGACATGCATGTGACATGCATTGTTACATTTTGTATTGAGCTGGCTGTACTCAGGACAGGAATATTCTGTATTATAATTTCTTGTTTTTGTTATATTTACTTACGTTTTTATGTTGATATTGTTAATGTTAATTATAAATTTAAGCATTATTTAAATACATTTTTGTAAGCTGTACATAATTTTTAATATTCTAATACATTTTGCTTTTTATTCCATTTTCTTGCATTTTGATTTTCATTTCTTTTTTCTCAACAGGATGGAAGACAAAGGAACAGTGCTATCAATCAAGTTTTCTCCAGATATGAATATTCTGGCAGTTCAAAGATCACACAGAACTGTGGTAAGTATGGTGACAATAACACATCCATAGCAAATAAATAAAAATGTTTTATGATTTTTAAATTAAATTCAGGCACCTATGCCAAACTCAAAACTTACAACCACTAAAATATATTTAATAAATATGTTGTCTATAAACTTTTAAAATTAAATGTTAATATTTATATTGCTTACTTTGTATACTACTTTCAGTTGAGCATTATAAGCATATATACGTGGCAAAAATTATTATTCTTGATTTAAATGTCTCATTATGTACACTATAAGTTTTTGTTTTTTCCTTTGTAATCCAACTCTACGCAGGAATTTATAAATTTTGTTGATTCCAAAGTTGATAATGTGGAGTATTCTCAAAGTTGTAAGGTAAGGTTTACTTTTTAGCATGTTTATTAGGGTGTAGTTAAATAACACTCCTTCCCAAATCCCAGGCTTGTTATTAATTGGGATCTGATGGATGGATTATTTTGAATCTCCCTGTCTTTTCTAGGTGATTTGGGTCTAGTTTCCAATCTGTCTGCTTTTCTAGGTGGTTGAGATGGGAACCATCCTTATATTCCCTAGTTTACTAGGTGATTGGGATCTTGTGGAACCTTTCCTGAATATTGGAAGTCAATATAAATATGTGAAATTAAGAAAAATCCAAATTGGCAAGTTTATTATATTTAATTTTGATTTGAATTAGTAGAAAATATATCAAAAAACCAGCTAAAAACAAAATGAAACAAGACACTTGTCCTTAATTGCAGAGATATGCAGGCATAAAATTGAAGACCAAGAAAAATAGTAAAATATAAAGCAGGAATGAAAGAGCAATGCTATCCAACTTTCAAAAGAAATATAACTACTTAAATTTTATCTTTATTACTTTTAGGGAAAGAATACTCGTATTATTGGGTACAACTGGACGAATGATAATGAGATTGTGTTCATCACAGACCATGGAATCGAACTCTACCAGGCAATTATTCTCATACTTCATATTTTGTTAATTAGTGAGAATGTTTTAATTACTTGGACATTATCCATAGTATTTTGTACTGAACTACTGTAGTTCCCCAATATCAATACCCATAAATAAATGCTTCCCTGCCCTCTAATTAAGACACAAGTTGAGAGTCAAAACAATTGAACCAGTATTTGCCAATGGTTTAACTCACAGTAGATATCACCAGTTTAGCTACCTGAGTTGGTCATGTACTTCCTTGCTCTTTCACTAAATTTTTTTTGTTATATTGGGTTTCTTTTGTAGGTTTATCCGGAGAAGAAAAGTCTCAAGTCCCTGAAAAGTTTCAGTTTGTCTGTAAATTGGTTTGTGTATTTGGTAAGTAATAATTTATCAAATGTAATTGAATATAGAATGGTAAATTAAATTGTAAATAAAATTTCAATTGTATACAAATAAAGCCAACAAAATATGTATCAATATAGGAAATAATAATAATACTGTAATAATACTGTAATAATAATAATAATAATGATGATGATGATGATGACGATGATTTTACACTGTGCATAACAATAATCTGCTACACATTAGATCCATAAATTGTATTATTTGTTATCACTATGATATTTAACTAATCAAATTGTTGATAATTTGATTAGTTTAATACGTGATAGTGGTAACAATTAATTATGTCATACTTAATTTATAACCAGATTATTATTACGGCATATGATTCCTGAGTTTAATGCAGTTCTATTTGGCTAATAATATGTATTTATATACTGTTACAGTCTGAAAGTAGTTTGCTCCTTTTGTCATCTGCACCCCTTGGCAACATCTTCAACCCATTTCTCTTTAAGGTATGTTTAAAATACAATATTAATCAAAATGTGCTAAAATTAATATAGAAATGAATTTATAAAATGTACTAATACAGTATAAAATGAATAGAATTTTGTAAATTTTTGAAAAGTATATTTAAAATGTTAATTACTTTTATTTTAACAATAAAGCTCTTTAATATACAAATGATTGGCAGAAATTATAAATTATTTATATAGTTGTTGTGTATTTATATATAATATGTTGTATAATTATTATTTGGGGTGTAAAGAATCATATCTCCTTTTGACTTTTGGCCGAAGTGCCACTGAAAAATAGTTCGACTTACATTAAATTGGACTAAAGCAAAGTTGAATTTTTTTCGATATATCACAATATCAACTTGACTTAGAGAGTTAGGCCTTACGGAGACCGGCGAGTTTGACTGTAATCACTTAAATACGGTACATGTTATTTTTCATTCTACAGCAAGGTGTAAATATTGTCAAGTTGCCTAAATTTGAAGTGGATCTTCCTGTCATACCGAAGCCTCCTAAACTTTCCTTGTTAGAAAGAGATGTCTCCATTGGGAATATGTAAGGCAATATTTTAGTCACTTTATTTCCCATACATCCTGCAAATGCAATGTGGAGTGGATTTGTTGCTTAGTGGGTGTTTGGCAGCCTTACAGTATAATCCCAGGGCCCAGGGTTTACATATTGTCAAAACATCAGGAACATCTACACTTCCTTAATTCTAGTTTCCATAAATTGTTTTTACTGTAATCATTACACTGTTTAGCTGATCCTAATGCATTCATAAAGGCTCTACGATTTAACCGAACAATCAAATTTTCCGAAAGCCATTGCTAATGTTAGTGTGTAGCATATGAAAACAAAGCTTAAGCCTCATATTATGAGACTTGGTTTACCTAGAGCATGTGTTAGGTTTGTCTATTTAAAACGTGTCTTGTTCAGCCTTCAGTGGAAAGCAGCATTTTTTGACGGAGAAAATATCAGAAAACATAGATCTGGTTTGATGAACATATACTAAAATCCAAACTGTTTTAAAATTCAAACAAGTTTTTTATTCAAAAAACATTCTTGATATGTTGTTTTTGGATTCTATTTACTTGGATTCATTTGACATTCAAGTATTTGTTGTACTTAATGTTGTTTTCCAATTGTATTACTGAGTTCATGTGACATTTAAGATTCTGTAATACCATTGTACTAAGATGTTTGTTGATTCTGTTACATGTGTCCATTTAACATTTAAGCTATGGTATTTTGTACATCATTGTGCTGAGACATCAGCCGAGAGGACCAAGCAACAAAGGGGCAGAGGTTGTACTGTATCAGCTTCAAAAGTAAGTTCTGGGGCTGGATTTATCAAACTAGAAATCAGCTTAAATTGGTCTTGATTCAGTTTTTTTTTGCTCAAGTAAGATTTATCAATATTGTTTTAGCTTTAAAAATTGCTTAAAATGAAAAAGTTGATGCGCCATCTACGATAATTTTTAAGCTAAGATTTTGCTAAGATGGTTTTGATAAATCAGCTTGCTAGGGACATCTGAACTTTTTTGACTTAAGCAAATGTCTTAACTTTTTTGACTTAAGATATTTGCTATGCTGAGATTGGTAAATTTCTAGGTCTACAATAATTATAATACTGTACTGTATGTATGGTTTCTTTGTCACAAGTTATTTATAATAAAGTTAAATAATTAATTGATTTTTAATTTTTAGATTTTTATGTCATTTTATTTCTATCTGCTCAGGCGAGACTTTTTTATACCTTGTTTCACGAATTTATTTTTTTAAAGATCGTCAGAGGAGGGCGGAAAAAAGATTAGCAAATGGTTTTGCCAAACATCCAAAATTGAGAAGAAAAAAAAATAAAATATTTTTGTTGAATGTAAACAGTGTAGTAATGGGATGGTTAAAAGCTTTAAATTTATATAATTAGGAAGAAGTATACATATCTTTGGAGATTTCAAGGCAGCAGAGGGTGAAGAAAAACTTTTATTTTTTTTCTGAAATTTTTATTTTAAAATACAGTATTTTATTTTTGAGATTTCAAGGCAGCAGTTGGCGTAATACAGATAAAGAAAAACTTTAATTTCTTTTTCGTAAATTTTCATTTTTTTATGGCAGCGTGTGCGTTAATTGGCCAAAAATATAATTTCATTTTTATTCAAAATCATCCATATTAACGAGCGGTGGGTTTGCAAAACAAGTTATAAAAAAATTCTTGCCTTATATAAAAAAAATAATAGTAAAAATTCTAACATTAAACAATATAGAAAATATTATTATTTATAAAGCTAAAAAAATAAATATTTATAATGTAATCACTATCATTTATCACATTCTATGGTTTCCTATACATTTGTTTCTTCTTCTCTACTTTTCACATATATAATAGGTCTTTCCATTTTAATTCGCCTCTGTGGTTGCTATGACAATATAACAATGTTTTTTACAATAGGGAATCACCAGCCAAGAAGACAGATGTCCTTAGACTTGATATGAGTGGAAGATTTGCTGTTAATGTTGTTGTAAGTTTTTTCATTAAATTTATACATCATTTTTATAATGTTTGTTTCATGGATGTTTGTCTTTGATTGTTTAAAATGATTACATTTAATATTTCAAATGATCAAATCTTAATAGTGATTGTAAAGATTTTACAAGCTTTCTCTTTATTTGATATCTTCTCTAATAAAGACTGTTATTATTGAAAATTATATTTTTTTAAATTCACTTTTTGTTTAATTATTAATAGTATTTTCTAGAACCTTACAAAGGAATATTCTAATCACATAATTTTTTTGTTGTTTTTTTGCATTTTGTTTCAGGATAACCTAATTGTTGTGCACCATCAGGCATCCAAGGTAATTCTATTCATTTTTGCATATTTTTTTTTATAAATATTATTTCTATTTTTTACAGACATCATTTTTATTCGTTTAAATTAAATTTTTAACTATTTATACTATAAACACATTTCTTTGTTATTTTTATAGAGTTGATTATTCATCAAAATTAATATATTTTATCAAATAATTATTTACTCTTTTCTGTTATTCGTAGACGTCATTAATCTTTGATATCAAGCTACCGACACAAGAGAATGACAACTACGTAAACTACCACTACCCAGTACTGGCCCCCCTTCCCATTAAACCCTTCACACTACGTGTTGCTGGGGTTCCAACCGCTGCACTTCCTGATGCTACCCAAGTGAACTGTGAACTTTGTATCCTTATAATGTACCCCAGCATCTTTATTATGTGAGATGTTTTGAGGTGTCTGTCCTTTTCATAGCACACAGAATCAGTTGGTCTTGTCAGTCCAAAGACAATGTAATATTAGTTCTGTGCATGATTATGCATGCACAATTTCAAGTAGAAGATGGAGCAAAGACCGTATGTTTTTGACATTTAGAATACACCTTCCATTTTGTGACTTGTTCTTAAGTAAAACAAAATAACATTATTTTTTAGATGAGTTTTAAGGTATTGGTACATCATTATCTAAATTTAAACAGTGAATGCAGAATGCATGGACAACACTAAAGAAACCTTAAAAATCAGTTGTGATATTTATCTTGCAAGTCTCTCATTCATTACCTTAGTTCACACTACCAAATATTTCTAGTATTGTTACTTAGCCGCCTTACAGATTCTCCAAACTGGGTTGTGTTTCAGCCGAATATTATCATTGATGCAAAGCTAGGATGTCTGTGGCATGTGTGTCTCAAACTGGAACCATTAGTCACGATGATCCCAGACAAGGTCAGTGGACAGCATGTAGTTTAGTTTGGCAAATGATATGGCTAAGATGGCCACTACGCCTGGTGAAGCCTGCATTTCAATCAATCAGTCAGTCAATCAATTGTCAGTCTTTTTTAAAGCACCAATGTCCACGGCAGAAACAATGTTCAGTGGCGTTATGACATTGGCATTTCTGCATGTGTTATCAGTATATTTCTATAGCTTGGTTTCCATACATTTGCTGCACTGTTACTACAGTGTTTTCAGCGCAATCGATGTACTGCGTAGCGTTACCCGACGCAATCGACCAATCAGCATCACCGAAAGCTGTTGGTGATAGCGTGTAAAGATTGTATGGAAACCAAGCTTTCTAAAAAATGTGCTACTTTATTTGTCTTATAGGCAAGAATAAGACTTGGATGAGTATACATATTCATTTTCTACTGTTTGCATTACATCATTGGCGTTTCACTATGGAACACATTTCATTGGTGATTTACATAAACATTAGGGCCAGCTGGACCTTGCATCTAGTGAATTCACTTACTTAGGTCATTTGAAATGTAGTCATTAGATTAGAATTATTACGAATCAAAGAATTAAGAATATTCTTACACCCTCCCACTATATATATTTATTTTAAAGTTATGTACAGCATTGATTAATATGTATTAATATAAGAAAGTATAATACATACTCCAAGTATTGAAATACACGCCATCGTGTTGGGATTCAATATTTCGACATTAATTATGTCATCATCAGGAATGAAAATTCGACATTAATTATGTCATCATCAGGAATGAAAAATTTTTTCATTCCTGATGATGACATAATTAATGTCGAAAT